TACATTCTTTTTTATTAGTAAATTTATCAAATATTATTAAATCGTGAATGAAACTGATCAAATAAGTTAGTGACGCACAAAAATTTATGATTCAAATAAATTTGGAGGGGATGAAGAGTATGACCAAAAGTAAATTACCAACATTATTCAAGGAAAAAACTTGGACATGTTTAGTTAAATATTATTGAAACAAAAAATCTCCTCTCTTTTATCATAATAATGATGAAAAATATATTAAAATAATATTATAAAAAATATAAAAATATTACATAAATTTATTTAACGTAATTTAGTCCTTTATGTTTACGTGTACAAGAATGTACATTATCTCAAATTATATTACATATATGTTTTTGAAAATCATTCAAAACAAAGTTTTGTGGGTGAAACTTGAAAATCTCTCCTCACAAGTTTCATAAATAGCACTTAAAACTTCATCTTTACAAATTTTACGGATGTAACTTAGAAATTTCTTTTCCACAAGTTTTATATCCCTTTATAGGTCAAGTGATTATTTTTATCTTAGTCTCTATTTATTGACTTAACATCTTAATTTTAAAAGAGAAAATAATTTTTTAAAATAAATATAATATTTTTAATTCTAAAAATAAATAATATATTTTTTATATCTGAATAATATTTTTAAGATTTGAAATTGAAATTTTGAAGTGTTTTTATAACAAATATTTAACGTAGAAATTGAACAATGGGAAGAAATTCCATGTTAAGCAAGAATTCAAGAAACGGCACGCAAATAGGGTTTGGTATCTCTTGCGTTTGCATCATGTGCCATTGCTTTTGCATAGTTCAGGGAACATCACCAAACACATTTCAATATCACTGTCTTTCAAAATGTGAAGGAAACTGAGATAAATACGTCACACTTTCTAGTCCCAACATCAAACACACCGTCCGCTTCACGCAATTACCACTCAATTTCTCAATCCGGTGTGCCCTTCTCTAAATCTGTATTGGTCAAAGCAATACCCATTATCCTATTTAGAAACCATTTCACTAATAGATCCAAACCAGATTTTGCTCCATTCTCATACATATCATATAATGCTACATTTCGGGGACACATGAAACGATGCTGCTACTTCTTTCAACCCCATTTCTTGCTGTTATATTTTATCTTGTGTAATTAAGGAATTAAAAAAACAGGCACAAATTACATATTCCTCCTTTTAAAATTCCAGCTTGCACTTCAACTTTACCTTCTTTTCTTTTTAGGCAAAACATTACTTTTTTCTAAGCATGCAAAAATATCGCTTAATTTCAGCATTGACATATAATTTAAATTCTTTATATGTAATATCAATTGATAGAGACAATTCCTACTTAAATAGTATAGTTTTAGATTTGGATTTTGAGAATGTAACCATGTTTTATATATATATATATATATATATATATATATATATATATAAATCAATTAAATCAATGATAACACGTGGACATGCAGGAGAATAAAATTTCATAGTATTTTTCTTTTCAAATATGGCATAAAAGTTAGAAATAATCCGTAATAGATTTATACCATAATATTTTAATTAACCTGTATATATATAATAAAAAAAAAACAAACAATGCTCCCTAATGACTCTTATAAAGAATCATTAGTGGGCACAGCATTGATGGTAAATTACTAGCTAGCTTACTATGTCCCTCGGCCCGCCATATAAAGTGTGTTGACTTTCGGTGCAATCTTTGGACTTTGGTAGTGTCATATCTGATTACTCCGGTTAACGTGATCTTTCTTTGATCAAGAAACTGAATTACCCTTTCATACTTTCAATAATTGAGTGCCATGCTGAGTTCACTAATTTTATTTGAACATTAACTCAACGAGTCAAACTTTATACCAATAAAAAAAATGTGAACGAACAATTATCCATAAAATATTTTGATTGAGATGCTTCACTAGATTCAATAATTAGTATATAACTTCTTTAGTCTTATTCGTTGCAAAAAGCGTCGAAGATGACAAACCAAACCCATGCACTCGGGTAAAAGAAGACTCTTTTGCTTTTGCTTTTCGTTAGGATGCATCTATAGACTTTAAGAACTTGCCCATTATTCCCTTATATTTCTAACTTTAGGGCCTATACTTTGACATGAAATTAATTATATCTTTTGATACTATAAGTGGTAATTTAAGTAATAGCACTAAGTTTGAATTTAAGGATCGATGTTTCTGTCTTCTTAAAATAGTCTTTACTATGAGAAATTACCAAGTTTAATATTGTAAGCCTTGATTAGTCTCACATTAAAAAAAAATGCATAGAACCCATAGAAGATAAATTGGATGTACGTCTTGATTGATATGACATCATATGATATATTGGCACTTTCTTTATCAAATATTCCTCTCCATATTATAGCCAAAGTTTTCTAGGATCGATCGCTTCGAGTCAAAACGCCATGATTATGATTATTGTGACTTATTATTAATTTAAACAAAATGTATGCCTTTATTGCATTGAGCTTTTCGACATAAACTAATTTAGCTTTTTAACTAAAGGATAAGGTTAATGTATTGTCAAAAGTTTAATCACTTCCCCGCTAAATTAATATTTTATGTACAGATGGCAAACATGTTTGCCATTTTACTTGGTTGCTAGAAATCTAATTACATCATGGTGGAAATCTCTTTCTCAAGTTTTAAGGAGATATGCAATCTATGTTGTATAGTTAAACGATGACATAGCGTTGATGGTTACGATTAAGATGGGAGTGGTCGTAGTAACATTGATTATAATATCAATGTCAACAATAATTAAACTAAAAAGAAAAATTGCATGACACTTATATATATTATGCATTGTTAGATTTAAGAAAAATGAACATTGTGACATCAATTGATCTCTTCTTTCAATATAGAGATAATATTTTCATCTTGATCTTTAATTTTTTTCAATTAAGTTTCCTAACGAGTAACTTATATTTAATTGTTAAATTGAGAAAAAAATAAAATTATAATAAACAGAGTATAACTCTTTTAAAATTTATTTTCAAATAACTTTTTTTGAATTATAAAAAATTGAATTAACATATAATATATTTTTTTATAAATATACATAAATTTAAATTAATATAATAAAATATTAAACAAAATTTAAATTTTATATACTTAATTTATTTATTAAGAATTTTGTTGGTTAAATAACTAAAAATAATATAAATGAAAAGTTTAGAAATAGACTAACTCTAACAGAGTTACAATATAATATATTTTCCACTCATATTATCGCATTATTTTAAAATTAAAAAAAGTGGTGTATTTAGATATTGTCCGCAAGCCCTCACGGTTTTGCTTTTAGACATCAGTTTTACCCCCTCCCCTACCAGCCATCATACTCGTCTGCCAACCATCATACCTAATACTCGTCTGTCAACCATCATACTTACCAACCATTATACTCATCAAGCCGGTCACCTGACCAGACCAACCAGGTTCTGATACCACTTGTTGTGCACCGAGGAGGTTACCACCACACACATACACATGTCTCCACATTTGTGAGATATTGTCCGCTTTGAGACTAAGCCCTCACATTTTTATTTTTGAACATCATCCAAAAAATCTCTCAACCAATGAAAACAAGTATGTATATATAAACACATGTCTATCCTCTTATTTGAACGAGGTAAGACTTTGCTTACATCTCAACAAAATCGCTCAGAAAAAGTGGATGATCAACACAAGTTCAAATTTACATATCTTGCAAAATATTAAAATATCATATCATTTAGTTCATTCCTTCTAAAAGATGCCAATTAGTGTTTTTCACATGCTCAGTTAGTAATTGATAATTCTGATTGCGTCACCTTTGATTACACTCCATAAAGAAAGGGATAATGATGCCAATGAATAATAATAAGCCATTTAATCACGTTCTTTAATGCAGTAGTTTTAAATAAAGAGCACACACATCAGGAACGAAATAAAGTGTGTTCAATTAAACACTACCTATTATTATACATAGAGGTACTTTTTTTAACCAAATTATATTATCTGAATATAAAAATTATATATATATATA